CAAGCCTTTCAGTTACTGCAGCAGGATCTATGGCACTTTCAAACACCTTCAGAAAAACAGTAAGAAGTAAAGAAATTTGTTATAACACCAACTAACTTAACAACTTAGTACTCACAGGAACACTTTAATACCTATTCAAAATAATTCCCCTATTTTCTGTCAAGCTGCCACTACGCAAAATCAAACTTAACTAATACTGTATGTTTGTGTACTTTAAAATGTCATCCACATTTCTAAAGTTATGCGATATTTTGGAAAAAATACTTTAAAGCTGAAATTGCATAGCCATTCATGTCTGCATCAACATCAGAACAGTCTACACTTTGTAGGAAAAATTGTCATGCTTACAGTACCATTAATGCAATTCTATGAACTGTAAACCAGCAGAACCACAAGTACAATCAGGAAACTTATGTTTGGAAAACACTTGAATTCTTGGCCAATCTTATGAGACACACCCCAAAAGAAAAAATTAAAAGCCCCAACTGCAAGCACCTTAAAGCACAGGTAATCTTTTACAGGGATTACAGACAAATGAGAAGGTGTAAGGAAGTTTTCCTGTATGTTTCTATGTATTATATAAAGATTGCCTGAATATCTTATAAAAATAATATTAATTAAGATATCATCTATGAAATGTCTTTTAAGAAACAAATGCCTTTGCCTGTATTTAGGTCTTGTCTATTTTACTACAGTGGATTATGTCTTATTCAAAGATACTCTTCTCATGCCTTGGAGTGAAATTCTGACTCCCTTGAAGTAAACAGGAACGTTACCACTGATTTTATTTGGGCATTCATGCCAGACATTCTGTCTATCTAAAGAAGCTGCCCTCAGCTGCATCCCACTTATTTTATCCATATTTGCTGCTTTTTTGTTTCTTTTGAATGTGCCAACATCCTTCTTCAAATGATATCAGTGTTTTCAGACAATATTTTGGCAATAGTTTTTTTTTGAGAGGGCTGTGCAAAGTCATTTTTTCCCCTAAGAAAATGTGTTGCTTTGTGCTAGTTAACACCTATTTACGAAGGTCACAGGCACAAAAACACATTACTGTGAGGTAAGACAAAAGATGAACTTATCTAACAACACCTACTTCACGATAATTACTTTGATGCTCCTCTTATTACTAGGTAAATGTACAAGAAACTACCCTTCTGTAGAAGTGGGTTATGTTACCCCCTTCTGGTCAGAACATGGCTATGGGCTTTTATTGCAGAGAGATGAAGAGTTGTGTGTTCAGAGCTGTGTTCACCTTGAGACAGGGTAAAGGCCTTAATGAAAATTATACCTTATAGCTTTCAGACATATTAACTACATAGCTTTTCACTTGTGTCAATAATAACCACAAAGGGAAAGGGAAAGTAATCACGTCCCTCAGGGAAAGGCCTCTTGTGAGCCAGATGCAAAGAATTTTAGAGAAACAGACAGGTAGAGGGAGTGGTTTGAAAAAGAATGGAGGAAAGTCTGAAAGAAATAGATAAGAAAGATACTGTTTCTCTAAATTTCATCTATTCCTATTTTGCAATGGCTTCAGTATGGTTTTGCTTGTCAATAGACATAGCCATTCTGCCTTAGACCATTTTTTTAAAAAACAATTTTCAAACACAAAATACCATTCACCAGAATCATAACCAACAAGCATACAGTAGAGTACAGGAAAAACACACTGAAGACTCCTCTTCTCACCAGTTCCTGGTGTTAGTGTGTGTCCTGGTTTTGGCGGGGATAGAGTTAATTTTCTTTCTAGTAGCTGGCATAGTGTTATGATTTGGATTTAGTATGAGAATAATGTTGGCAACACACTGATGTTTTCAGTTGTTGCTGAGTAGTGTTTATACTAAGTCAAGCATTTTTCAGCTTCTCATGCCAGGCAGCAAGAAGGCCAGAGGGGCACAAGAAGTTGGGACGGGACAGAGCCAGGACAGCTCTTAAACCACAACAGTGTGGCATGTAAAATGACAGGAAAGACATTTGTCTATTATTTATTTGGATCTTCATTTATACATGTCTGCTGTAATGACAAAAGTCTTGAATAGATGATAGCCATATTAGAATCGAGGTATCATACTGCTTCCAGAACAACCAGAATAAATAGAATTATTCTGAAACAGAGTAAATTCAATTGCCCTCATATACACTGTTGCCATTACTGAGATTAGGTAAGAACTGTCCATGTGAGGAGATGACCTCTCATAACCACTGCTCTCAAAGCTCCAGCCCATGAAATTTTAAAGGAATGTTAAAATCAATTCCATTCCAGGAAAAGGTCTAATACTTTATCTTATTATCTTGAAATACAAGTGAAACAAGAATAAGCTATCAGTTGTAAACAAAAATAAGACTATACATGAATTACAGCTTGTACAAGGCTTGAGACATTAGACTTCATAGCCCAAGGCATCTAACAAGTGAAAGTCACTTTTTAGATGTGCTTTTCAAAGCACATCTTCTCATGAAACAAGAGAGGGAAAACAGGAGAAAGGCATTCTGCCTCTTTGTGTTGACCCAAGATGCACTCACTGAGAAAAATGTCATGTTTCTCTTAGGCAGAAACACAGTGGGACATGTAACCTTAGGAGAGAAAAAAAAAACAAACCACTCCCATGAGACTCCTTAGTCTGGTCTTATACACATGCATTAGTCCAAGTCTACAGGACTCTATCTCAGAAGGGACTCAGTAGGCCCTTGGCTTTATTACTCATAATCTCAAAAGGGTGCCAGATTAAGATCTGTAGTAGGGAGTTCATGCATTTCGTATTTTGGTCTTTTCTTTTTTATCATCTTGTGTAACACGGAGTCATTTCACAGACCTTAGCATTGCACACAAGAGAAACATTTGATACTTACAAGGAAATGAATGAGTGAAAACCACCATTTTGGTTTTTTTCTTACATCTGATGAGGAGACCTGCTATGAGCAACATACTACTACCAACCATTTGCACAACAGCAGTAATCCCCTTCATTAAATAAATGTCACACAGCAAGAAAAACCCCGCATTTAATCTAACTTTTTCCTTGCATACTCTTTCCAGGAGACTTTATACCTGCAGCCCCAGAGAACCAGCCAGTGCCTCCTGTTTGGAGGAAGAGCTACGTAACTCCACGGATGAGACCCTATGGCTACACCAAGCGCACGTTTTAACCTTCACAGGGGTATTCTGACTGCAAAGGTATGGCCTCATTTTACATGAGCTTCCATTCCCAGATGGGAACCAAGCCGTTAAAACCCAGACAGCTCCCCAGGAGCTCTTAGAACTGAAGGCGCGGTCACAGATGGACGCACGCAAGTATTCACAGTACACGTGTATACGGACGTACGCACACATACGGTATGCGGGTGCGCATCTCTTCATGTATGTGTCGCCGTGTCGTATGGCGAGGCACCTCTGGGTCGCGGAATAACGGCGGTGACGAGATACTACCTCCCCCCGCACCGGCTGTCTGGGGCGACCCG